TGACCATATAGGAATGGGTTTCTTTCTGGTCTCTCTATTCTGTTTCTTATTCATGTTTTTTTATTTTTTTGTCTTAAAGAAGTCCCTTTAACATTTCTTGTAATACTGATTTAGTGTTAATAAACTACTGTAGCTTTTTCTTGCCTGGGAAACTATCTTTCTTTCGATTCTGTATGATAGTTTTGCTGAGTAATCATGGTTGTAGGTCATTGTTTTCCATCACTTTGAATATTTTGTGCCAATCCTTGCTGGCCTGCAAAGTTTCTGGTTAGAAGTCAGCTGACAGTCTTATGGGAGCTCCACTGTATGTAACTATTTAACTATTTTTCTCTTGTTGCTTTCTTTTTTTAAAAAGATTTTATTGGGGGAATTGGGGGAGGGCAACAGCGTTGGAGAATCGGGGAAGGGGAACAGACAAGTTACTGTCCTTTTGTTCCTCAGTCTAGTTGTGGAGGACATTGCTTCACTGGCCCATGTTGGTATTATCATTGTGCTCTTCCCAGGTGAGGCAGTTGCTTGCCGACCATTGAACAGCTGCTCACGGTGGCTCACGGCAGCTCACGCCCGCTGTCAGCCAGCCCCACTGCAGCCTACGCTATCGCCAGCAACTCACGGCAGCTCAGCTCCAGGTCGAGCTGTTGTTCACCATCTTAGTTGTAGAAGGCGCAGTGTCACTGGCCCTCATATGTGGGCTCTGAACCGGGGCCCTGCTGCTCAGAGCTGGTGTCCCAAGCCAACTCCTAACCAATGTGCCACTTGGCCGGCCCTTCTCTTGCTGCTTTTAAAATTCTTTTTGTCTTTGACCTTTGGCATTTTAATTATGATATGTCTTGGTATGGTCCTCTTTGGGTTCATCTTTTGGGACTCTCTGCACTTCCTGGACTTGTATGTTTATTTCCTTCTCTAGGTTAGGGAAGTTTTCAATCATCATTTCTTTAAATAGGTTTCCAATCTCCTGCTCTCTGTCTTCTTCTTGTACTGCTATCATGTGAATGTTGATACATTTGATGTAGTCCCAGAGGTCCCTTAAATTATTCTCACACTTTAAAATTATTTATTCTTTTTACTGTTCTGATTGGGTATTTTCTGTTGTCTTTTAAATCGCTGATTCGATCCTCTGCTTCATCTAATCTGCTGTTGATTCCATCTATTGTATCATTCAATTTAGTTATTTTATTTTTTGTTTCTCACTGGTTCTTTTTTATGGTTTCTATCTCTTTACTGCGGTACTCACTGAGTTCATCTATTTTTCTCCTAAGTTCATTGAAGATCCTTATAATCAGTGTTTTAACCTCTGCATCTGGTAGTTTGCTTATCTCCATTTCATTTAGGTATTTTTGGAGTTTTGTCCTGTTCTTTCATTTGGGACATGTTTCTCTGTCTCTTCATTTTGGCTGACTCCCTGTGTTTGTTTCTATGTAGTAGGTAGATCTGCTACATCTCCCAGTCTTGACAGAGTGGCCTTATTTAGAAGATGTCCTGTGAGGCCCAGTGGTGTAGTCTCCCTGGTCACTGAGCCGGGTGCTCCAGGGGTGTTCCCTTTGTGGGCTATGTGTTCCCTCCTGTTGTAGCTGAGCCTTGATTGATGTTGGCACATTAGTGGGTGAGATTGACCCTGAGGCTGACTGGCTGTGAGGATTGGCCATTACTAGAGAAAACAAACTATTATGTGGGGGCTGACTCCATGGAGTGGGATTCACTTAGTGAGGCTCTGGTCCCTGCCAAGCCATCCTTTGGCTGTGTCGTCAGGGGAGGTGGTTGAGTGGTGCTCTGTTGTCTGAAGCTGGCCACTGGGTGTGTTGGCTCTAGGCCTCTTGGGAGGGGCTCTGACACTTTTCCAGCTGCTGTCCCCTGTGCTGGAGCTCAGAGTGAGTGAGTTTGTGAGAGAGTGAATTTGTAAGTGAGTCTCAAGTCCTGCAGTGCCTAGGTCTGTAGCAGCTGGCTGTTTTACTTAACCGCGTGTCTCCCCTCCCCACCCCCACCACCCCGTTTTCCACAGCCAGATGTTATGGGGACTTGTCTTTCCCGAACTTTGGCCCTGGGCTGGGTAGGTCAGTGAGGTGCCAGGGCCCATGGCTCCTCAGAGTGATCTCACAGCCGAGAGTTCCCTCCCGATTGTTAATCGCCCCACTACGGGAGTGGGAACTGCCCATTCTGTATCTCTGCCCCTCCTACCAGTCTTGACATGGCTTCATCTTTATATCCTTAATGAAAGGACTTCCATTCAACTGGTCTTAAGGTGGTTCTAAATGATGGTTGTTCTACAATTTTAGAAGTAGTAATTATAATGTGCTCATGGGAGGAGGTAAGCACAGCATTTACCTATCCGCCATCTTGACCAGAAGTCTCTGCTTCCCTTATTTTTATTGGGTTGTTGGAAAAGTCATGACATATTTTGTCTATGTTTTTCAAAGGTCATTTATTTATATCAAGAACAAAGATCAATCAATGATATATTGACCGTTTTGTTCGATAACCTTTTGCCATCTTTCAGTGAGCTTCATAAGTCCTCGTTCATAGAAGGATCTGTCTTTATTTGAGAAAAACTGAACAAGGTGCTGACTACAGCCTTGTCTGAATTGAACGTTATGCCACGCAAAGAGTTTTGAAGAGAACTAAACAAGTGTAAGTCTGACGGCGCAAGGTCAGGTGAGTATGGTGGGTGTGGCAACATATCCCATCCAAGCTCCAATAATTTTTGATGGGAGATCAAACTTGTGTGTGGTCTCGGGTTGTCACGATGGAACACAACTTGTTTACAATTAACAAGCTCTGGATGTTTCTGGATGATGGATTCATTCAAACTGTCCACTTGCTGACAGTACACATTCGAATTGATTGGTTCCTTGGTAGGAGCTCGAAAACATGACACCTTTAAAATCCAACCACACTGAGAGCATAACCTTCCTCTGATGAATGTCTGCTTTCGATGTCGTTTGAGGCAAATCATGATGTTGGGACCAAGACCGTTTGCACACCACATTGTTGTAAACAATCCACTTTTCATCACCAGTTACCAGTCGCTTCAAAAAAAGATCGTTTTTCTCATGTTTAATGAGCATATTGAAGATGTTTGTATGCGCTGTCAAATGAACTTCTTTGAGTTCATGCAGAACCCAAATATCAAGCTTGCTTATGTATGTATCCCAGCTTCTTCAGGTGGTCATGATCACTTGAATGACGGATGTTCAATGTTCTTGCAATCTCTCGTGTCATGTAACATGGGTTTGACTCAGTCAATGCTTTTATTTTGTCGGCATCAACCTCGGTGGGCCTCCCTGACCAAGGAGCATTGTTGAGATCAAAATCACCAACACGGGATTTCGTGAACTATCGTTGGTACTGACATTCTTGTAGAGCATTGTCTCTGTAAACTTCATGCAACTTTTCACAAGCTTGATACGCGTTCTTCCCTTTATGGAAGGAAAATACTGAAATATGGCAAAAATGGACAGTTTGGTCTTCCATCTTCAACTTGTTGTAAAATCTCCAAAAGTCAACCAAATCGCTCAATCTTTTTTTAGAATGAAGCTAGAACTGTCAGGTGTGAAATGACATAGCAATAACATAGATGTGAATGATTCTAGTACTTCCAAAAATGAACTGGTGCCATCTGTCGCAAACATGCGTCATGACTTTTCCAACAACCCAATATATTGCTTTATTTAACTGGGAAAACTTGTCAGCAGCAAGTCTTTGCTTTGGACAACTCAGTGATCACTCGGTTGTCTGTGTGTTCTTGCCAAATTCTCTACACTGACCTGAGAGACAGGAGGGGAATCCACTCGGGGTTTGTCACTCACGTGGATGGAACATTTTCATCAAGGACACTGAGCTCTGTCAGATGGTTTCAAGTTGGCCTTTTCTCTTCTAATTCAAATGAACGAACTGTTTGCTCAGAAACAGAATTGTACCTCCCTGTCAGCCCTCCAGTTAAAGGTCATCGATATAGTTTTCATTTTCATTTGGCTAAAGGGAGAGTATGAGTATTAAAACCCCAATTATACCCTCCCAGTCCCTAGTCGAATGAAGAAAATAGCTGCTACAAAAATGATCTGGTTCTTAGTTACCACTTATCTCCTCTGTTTTGTGTTTTCTCCTTCATAGCTGTAGTCTTCCTAGTCAGGCGTGCTCAAAATAGGCTCCTGCCAGCGAGAGAGGGAGTGTGGGCCACCAACCCACAGAAGACCAGCTCCTGCAGGTGCTCTGCTCGCCTCAAGCTCCTGGCCCTCCTGCTAGAAGGCGTCCTTGAGCTCCCACAGACAGATGTTCTAGGGGCCAACTGCTCGATTAGGTGACTTCCCTGACTTCCTCTGCCCCTGGGAGTCTGTCACCTTCACTTCCTTTCATTCGCTAGGCTGCTGCTTCCTGGTGGCCGCTCCCAGGCTCCAAGTTTCTGGAGTGTCTCCCTTGCCACCTGTGTATCCAAACTGCCTGGCTGAACTTCAAGTGTGTTTCAGAAAAGCCCAAGTCTTTGCAAAATCATGTCAAGAACCAATAGTCAGAATTCTTTAACTTCTTTTCTTCCTGTTAGGGGTCCTGTCTGCTTAAATGTGTAAATGTCCTTCATGTCTCTTGAGTTTTAAGATTTGTTTTCAGGAACATAGAAATTGCAACAGGAGGGCAAAATGCACATTTCAGCAATACACACAGAATAATTTATTCCCATACTGGCTATGGAGAACACTCTTGTTCCCCAATGTCTATAAAGAAGGCCTGCTTCATAGTTCTAATTAATTAACTTTATTAAGTTGGAGCTGAAAGGAGGTGGAAACTTAAACAAGGAAATAAAAAGCAGTGGACCTCGCCAGACGAGTTCCATGTAACTGCTTTTTAACTGAAGGTAAAAGAGCAGTCCTTGCTTATTGCAGGTAATAAAGCAAAATAGACACTTAGATAGACTGCACAGCACAGTCTATTTCCAGCTTATCCACAGAATATGCTAATTACAAAAAAGAAAAGAAAAAGACTATTTCATTTAGTGCAAGGAATACATTTATTTTCTTTGATCCAGAATTAACAAAGTGAATTTGATGCCCCAGATAAAGTACAATTGTAACATTTGCATCAGAAAACTTTCCTTGAAACGCTTCTTCAGACCTTTGTTAAAGTTATTGATTATCAGATCAAAGAAACTGAAATTTCAAGTTTGTGCACAGAAATAAAAAAAATTGTCACTTGGGAATTCTATCCCAGAGTCATAATTACCAGGAGGGAAAAATGTTCTCTTGGCTAGGAGTTTCAGTAACACCGTAATACTATGTATGTCCAACTTTATACAAAATCTTGTGTATTTTGCAAAATAAACAGTGCATACATTCCTATTACATCATTTGTGGAAATGTGCTCAATGGTCTTAAGAGTCTCCTACTAGGTCTAATTAACATGAATTTAACAATGATGGTAATGAGCTTACCAGTCATTTCCTCACAGCTCTGTTATATTCACGTTTATGTTTTTGATGCGACACTAATAGCATGTAGATCCCAATTCAGTAGACATCTGGGCCTATATAAATAATATACATGGATATGTAGCAAGACTGAGGTTGAAGACTTGATGTTTGATAATGTTGACAAAAGAAGGGTAAAAATTACAGTGACTTAGACGGTGATTTCTTAAGGACACACTGCTGAACGCATGGCCACCTATCTGCTCTCTAAAGAATAATTTAACCACCAAATATAAAATACATGAATACCAGGTGACCAAAAAAAAAAAGAAAGCCCGTTACAATCTTGAATAAGTCAAAATCTCAAGTGCCTAGGAAAAGCAATGCAATCATGTATTTAGCTTTATTTTTAAAATATATACCATAATTTAAAACTATATAAAGTAACTTACATAAAAAGCAATTTTTTCAAGTGTTATAGCTTCAAGCATGGCTGTATATTTGGCTTAATCATTTTTTACAAGTTTAATTTATAAAGCTCGTAATCTTGCCAGCAGGGCTTCAACTTCAGGAATGGATTCGCTTTTAGAAACAGGGCCAAGAGGGCCCACTTCCTTTTTCCTGTTGCTTTCTACATTGCAGGCTTCCTTCTTCTCAGCTGCCTTCATCCTCCCTGTAGACATATGAGTGTCTAGATTATAATTAAGCTCCTGGGCGGCTGGAGTCCTTGTTGAGTTGCAATGGATATTGTAGTGCGAATGTGACCTTTCTGTCAACTGCGCTTTCTGATTTTCTACAGTGAGGAAGAAACATAGAATGTGTTGCTGTGATAAGCAAGGACTGTGCACATTACGAAACATAATTTGAAAATAATTATTCTCAACCAACAAGTTCTCTGAGATTAAACTAAAAATATTCAACAGAGCGAGGCAGATTTAAAATAAACATGCAAAGGTTAAGAATAAACTAAAATACAAACAGACACTCATTTCATTAGCACTTATGCTTAGTTCCTTCTTCCTTTATGCCTGAAATGCCCATCACTCAGCATTAAAGCTTGGTTCTGTATTTCATTCAGGTCTCCACTCAAATGCCATCTAAACAGAGAGGTCTTCCCTGACAACCGTCCATCTAAAATCACACTGTCTCTTCTCATCAATCTCCTTACCTCCCATCTTTCCCTCCCTAGAACTCATAACCACCAGGCACATTGCATGCCTGTTTCCTTATCCATTGTCTGTATCTCTCTATTAGAATGTAAGCTCCGACACATCTGGAACTTTTTTTTAAACACTGCTGTAACTTTGGTGCGTGAAACAGCCCTGGAGCAAAGTATTAAATAAATATGTACTGGGTAGAGAAATTATTTCCACACTCTATGTCCCAAGATAAGCATTAGCTTGAATCATAATGAAATTCATTTTCTTTCAGAACAAAAAACTAGGAGGAAAGTTTCTAATAGGGATTTAGAAAAATCAATGATTTCCCCTAAAAGAAATATTGAACTTGGCAGGTAAAATGTTAAACCTTCCTAGCAAAACAGAATTACATCATTATTTAATTGTCAAATATATGCACATGTATACCCACTGACATGTACACATACACACATTTTCTTTAATTGGTTAAGTGACAGCGAGGCGGACTTATCAAGGCTACAAGGAGAGAGTTGCAAAAGCTAATGACTAAACGGCTCTGGCCAATTGACTTTCCCAGGGAACATTAGATTTTCTTTTAATTAACTGAATCTCACATTGCACCTTATGAGTGAGCTCTCTCACAGATGTCAAACTTCGAAAACACAGACCTTACATATTCATGTCACCTTGAACAGGGCTTCAAAACGGCTTCAACAAACTTGACATGACATTTAAAGTTTTTTGGTTATTCGCTGAGAGATGTTCCATTATCCCAATAGTAATGGCTTTGGAGCACAGGCAGTCACTCATGACAGCGTGTTTTATGTGAGTGCTGAAAACTCCAGCCGAAAACAGCTTGTACATGAAAAGGTGGCTGCTGGAGATATTTACTGCACTGTCATGTCTGGGCCAGGGGCTTCCCGGTGATGGATGAGCATTTTACGCACCTTCTTGGACAATCTCAACAAATTTTAGAAGTATGATCACCTTTTAGCTGTTGGAGGAAAATAAATACACTTTTCCTATCACCTTCTCTGTCGGGTGGGTAATTGTTACTCAAAACTAAAAATCTAATGGAGTGGTGGTTTTCTCTTAGAGCAGTTTGGGCTCTGCCATTTACAACGTACACACTGCGGTCAAGTTTGCAGTAAAGAGCAGCATGGACATGGGTGTCCTGCAGGTCGCATGACCACACCGTTTGTTAATTTTTCAAGCACCCACCCCTCCGCCCCCCAAGAATGCTTGAAAACTATATTTGTTGCTAAGTGCAAATTTTTAGTCCGCTTACTGCTTCTTCCCCAGTCTGTTCCTGCCTTTTCTAGTCATTTGATTTCCTGCAAAGGACTCCATCGTTATGATCTCTCCAATAAGCCAGTTTATTCTGCTACTGGGCAACTCCAGGCAAATGTTTGCTGACAGAGAAGAGAGTCAGTTGGCTAAAATGTAGGTCTACACGAGGGGTCGGCAAACTGCGGCTCACAAGCCACATGCGGCTCTTTGGGTACGTACATGTGGCTCTGAAGTCAAACTGAAAATGAAAACAAAACTATCCTAGTTTCACTTATAAAAATTTAAAAGGATATTATTCACATAATGGTGATTTCATTTGTTTTATGGCTCTCGAATAATTTTTAAATTGTTGTGAGAGACAGAATTGGCTCTTCCATCTCAAAAGTTTGCCGACCCCTGGTCTATGATATATAAATCCATGATTGTCCCTCTTGTGGCTCTCATGGATCCAGCCCAGCTCCACAAGTGACAAAGTGAAAAGAGGAGGGGATTTGAAGGCAAACCTGGGTTGCAATCCATGCTCCCCAGCTTGGCGTTAACAGGTTACTTAATCTCTTTGAGTCTCAGGTTCTAATAATCGACCTCACAGAGTACTTGTGAGAATGAAAGGAAATAATGAGGGTGACACCTACTTCAAGATGCTTGCCTTTCTCTTCCTCTTCCAGAGCTTTCCCAGGGAGGAATCTACCACACAAGGCTTAGGACTTTTTCGGATGCTCTGACCTTTCTGACTTTCTGGTGACCATACCAGTGAGGGCTGAAATACCATTCTATTAATAGCTCGTATTTATATAGCACCTTTATTCATAAAGCATTTGCTACACTCTAAACATCAGTGCCCTCGTTTTATAGATTGAGAGGTAAAGGCAGGAGGTTAAGTCATTGCTTAGATTTAGTTATCGAGTAAGTGACAGAAGCCAAAAGCCGCCTCTAGAGATGCTAAGGCTGTCTTAAGGAAATCTGAAAAGCTTTTTGCCAAGGAAAAGTGCTAAGTAATTCAAAGCTAAGTTTCATAATAACGATGTCCTGTGCTTATACTTCAAAATGCTTGCTGACACATTTAATTCTCCCAGTAACTTTGTAAAGGCAGATAGCATACCTACGTACAGTACCTTAGCACAGTGTGTCCCAGGTCACACAGGCACTCCTGTCCTGGTCTCACTTAAAATCATGATCATAAACTTCAAGTACAGCCTAATCCCAGTACAGTCAGTTCCCTAAGAGCCAATCCTGTCCCTGACAACAATTTAAAAATTATTCGAGAGCCATAAATATATTTTACATAATCACCATTATATGAATAATATCCTTTAAAAATTTTATAAATGAAACTAGGAGTTTTATTTTCATTTTCAATTTTACTTCAGAGCCACATATATGTACCCAAAGAGCTGCATGTGGCTCGGGAGCCGCAGTTTGCCGACCCCTGGCGGCTCTTCCGTCTCAAAGGTTTGCCGACCCCTGCCTAGTCCATGCACGCTTCCGTTTTCCTAGACAGCTATTCCACACCTTCTCTTCTCATTACAAATGTCATCATGTTATCCTCCACTCTCATTTTACTCATTCATAGCAACAATCAGAAGGGAACTCCCATAGCCCCCCCCCGCCCCCCCCCCCCACACACACACTGTATGCACATGCACTCCTTCCCTCCCATTAGGACCTGCTCTGCTCCCCGCGGTGAGGACGGCCCCGCGGTGAGCACCATAAACTATTCTTGCTTGTCTATTCAAGGACATCCTCCGGCAGCTGTGTCCTCGCTACTGCATCATAAAGGTTTCCTTCTTCATGTGATCCTTCCCCTCAGCATACAAGTAATAACCCAATCTTTAGAGAAGAAAAAAAACTCTGACTTCGACTCCATGTCCTGCTCCGTCTCCTACCTCAGTTCCTGACTGGCTGCACAGCAAAAATTCTCTCCGAAGAACTGCCCATGCTTACTGTTTCAATTCCTCTCTTCCCATTTTTGTCTAGAACCTACTCCAATCATGCTTTTGACCCTTTCCTCTTCTGAAACAGCTCTTGTCAAGGTCACTGCTAAACTGTGTTGCTAAAAACAAGGACTGTATATCCACGTGGCGGTTTCAGTCCTCCTTAACTTGACGTACGCCAGATCCAAGGATGTGATGCTCAGGAGCCCGCGCTTTTCTTTTACTGTTTGCTCTTTGAACGTCTCTGGAGGCTTCGGTGGATAACGGTGGGTGGGCCAGTGCAGGCGGGAGCGCGCCTACCCTTCTGAGAAAACTCCAAATAGCTGTTTGGGTGCCTTACGGACAAACAATAAGAGAAAAAGCAAACTGGTATTTAACCCCTCTGTGGTTTCAGGTGAAGCATCTTCCATGAGAAGCAAAAGACAAGACGATATAAAAAGGAAAGAGGCCATTCCCGACACCACTGAAGAAAGAAAAAAGTGCACAAGGCCTCTTTGAGAATGCGCTTGCAGCTCTATTAGAAATTCCCCCATAACAGCTCTGCTCTCCACTCATCTCTCAGCACCCCCACAGTGGGTCCCGGCCATGGGGGTTTAAGTTGTACAACCGGGGGAGTCACATTTTAAATTGAGAAGCAGGTACATGAAGCTGGGTTGGAAGGTGTCCTGTCCCACTGCAACTAGAAGAAACGTTTATAGGTAGAGGAAGGCCCCAAGTTGGGAATACTTTTATGTAGATATTGTATAATAATGTTGGTTCAAGGCCAGGTGTCTTTTGCCATTGCAATTCTTTTAAAAGTCTGGTGGCTTCATGTAGGCTGAACTGGAGACCCAAATTCCTTGCACTTACATGCACTTAGGGCCAGCTGAGTGGCTCAGTTGGTTGAGAGCTCGCTCAAGAGTTTGAGCTCTGAGCAACTGTGGTTCGATGCCCAGCCCGAGCTGAGCAGCTGCTGAGCTGCCAACAGGTGGCAGGATGGCTCAGCTAAAAAAAAAACAAACAAAAAAACAAAGAAAAAAAAAACATGGACTTAGTTTCTAAATGGTTCATTTCAAACGTCAGGGAGATGTCACAACCCTGTAAGTTGGAGAGAACTCCATATAGGTGTTCTGAGGAACAAAATAAATTGTAATTTCAGGCCAGTGGGCTTCCTTTTCATATGAAATTAGTTCCAAATACAAAATGAAACACCGTGGACATACAAACTCTTTCAATGAAAGATAAGACTGGTGTTATCAAGAAATAGAGAAGCATTTTCTACTTCTGTCAACTCAAATCCTTACCAATACACATTTTTAAGTGAAAACTAAATTATTAAGGCAAAGCAGAATAATAGTTTAACTTTCCAAAGAGAGGAAGCTTATTATTTTAGGGATCGAATCTAAGGCTGCTGTGCTTGCACCCTCTCCCCCGCCCTCCCTGCCCCTGCCAAT